CTCCACGTCTGGCATCAAGTCAGCTTCCTGGTGGGCTGGGGGACAGTGACTGGGCAGGAGCCCGGGAGGCTGGAGGGCAAAGGGGGCCCTGGAGGGCAAAGGGGGCCCTGGGAAGCCGCTGGGTGGGTGAGATGAGTACGTTTGTGCAGATCTTGTCTGTATTTCCCTCCTGCACTGTGAGTGCAGCCCCAGCACACCCAGAAGTAACCTAAACAAACCCTGCTCCCCCTCTCTCCCCCTCCCCCTCCCTCTCCCCCTCCCCCTCCCTCTCCCACTGCCCCCTCCCTCTCCCTCCCCCCTCCCTCTCCCATTCACCCCTTTGTCTCCCATTCCCCCCTCCCTCTCCCTCCCCCCTCCCTCTCCCACTCCAGCCAGGGTGTGCCCAGGGGAGTGGGCAGTCCAGACAGGCTGGGACCCCTCTGCTCCCAGGTGCCCCCGTGGCCTGGGACCTTTCACAGCGCCGTGCTGACCCAGGGCTGGCCGAGTGCATGTTGACAAACTAGCATGGACGGTTTTGCTGCATCTCGTGTGCAGTGTGCGATATCCCCAAACGATCCTCCAGTAATTATTTTAGGAGCATCAACTATGAGCCAGGCTGCAGTCTAGACGCTTAGAGCCCCACACAGTCACCTTCTAAGGGGCAGCAGGGCCATCGGATGATTATCAAGGAACAAAGCAGCCTGTTAGCTGGAGACCAGCGCTACCGAAGTGGACGGCAGGGGACCTCGTGTGTCAGTCAGTGATCAGTCATGACACAAATGCAATAAAAATGGATTTAGAAAGGTGCTGATTTGTTGTTTTCCAGGCTGTAATCTGGGCTTAGCTCAGCTGGGCTGCTCTTCTGCTTCATGTGGAGTCTACTGCGGTTGGATTGACCAAGACAGTGTGAGAGTGTACACCAGGGAGGGCCCGGAGGGCAGGCAGCCATCTTTGGAGATCATCTTCCACAGGCAGGAGGTGCCACTTCACATGGGGGAGGCTTCACTCATGACGGTGGATATAAGCAAAGACCGGGGACAAACAGGAGAGAGCCATGTGGTAGATGGTCAAGAGAACAGCACATGCAAAGGCCCTGAGAGAGAAACCTGCTTAGCATGTTCAAGGATGAGCAGGGAGGCCACTGGGATGGCACAGAGGGCGCGAGGTCCCGAATGCGGAGACAGTCAGAGAAGGTCTAGGTGTCAGTGTCAGTGCACACGGGGCCTGGGGGACCACTGAAAGACTTGGTTTCAACTCTGAGCAGACGCGGTGTAGGTGACCAGCTGTCCCAGTTCATCTGGGGTCGACAGGATTCCTGGCACGTGGGATTGAAAACAGTGAATCAATATAGGGGAAAGGGTAGAGGCCGCGGCAGGACCCCAGGTCTGACAGCAGCTTGTCCCACAGAGGGGACCACAAGGCGGCAAGATGCAGACCCAGGAAAGGTCAGCAGCAGGGTCCATCCCCACCTCCTCACCCTGGAAGCTTGGAGCTCAGCCGGGCAGCGGTGACATCTAGACACACCCATCAGCTAGAGTCAGCAGTCAGCTCTGAGGGGCGCATGGCCTCTGATGTCACATGCTCTGTGTGTCCGTCCCCAACCTGCCATGCTGTACCTACGCTCCCAGGAGGAGGAGAAGGGCTGAGACTTGGACGTAAGATCCACCTCTGCCCAGCGCAGAGAAGCAGAGCAGCTGGGCCCGGCAAGCTCAGGAGCCGGCGCAGCCGCCACGGCTCTGGTTCAGTGGGGCAGGGGCTACTGAGTGTCAGCACAGGGGCTGGACATTCAGAAAGGACCAGGTGCCCAGCCAGGGCCCTGGGTGGGGGATGGAGAGGACCTGCACTTCCAGCCATTCATGTGTCTGGACATTTACCTCCGTGGCCCCCACCCACGGGGCCCCCACCCACAGGGCCCCCAGAGGATCCCCCAGGGCTGTGCCCTCCCCACACTGGTACCGGCAGCCTCCCTCAGCACCATGCCGTGCTCATCCCAAACCACAGGCCCCACCACGACTGCCCTGCGACAGGACGCCCAGGGCCCAGGCCTCCACCGGAGCTGGCGATGTCACCCCAGACCTGTCACTCTCTGCCCCTGATTACAGTCATCGCGGCTCCCGCCCCCCTGCCTAACCAGACCGCCCTCACTTCAGACCTTCAGAACTGTCTGTGAGGCAGCACTTTCCCCAGAAATGACCAGGTTGAGGCCCAGGACGGTCTTCAAATCACAGGTTGGGCCCAGGCGGAGGCGGGCTGCCGAGGGAGGGGCAGGAGCCACAGTGGCCAGAGAGGGAAACGGGGAGGCAGAGAGGACCGAGGAGGGTCCAGACGGGAGAGAAGAAAGGTTAAAATGTTTAAAACACACAGTGACCCGTCTCCAAAGCCCCAGTGTAGGCTCTGAGAAGAGGCCCCACTGAGGGGCCCTGGTGCAGCCTGGCTAGCGCGGGAGACCCATGGAAACTGACCACCCGGCAGGGCCCCTGTGGGACAGGGCCTCCTTTCTGGAGGGAACTGCACCCTTGTGTAGTGCCCGTCGCCAGCCACAGGGCCAGGGCTGATTCCAAGACTAGCTTTGGTCCCAACAGGCTGGGCGACCTTGGGCAAGACACTGGGATCATCAGAGAGCCTTGATCTCCTCCACGGGGAGACAGAACCCGAGCCGGAGGCTAGGGCACAGCTGAGAGCCGGGAAGATGGCAGCTGTCTTCCAGAAAGCAGCAGGGCCAGAGGAGAGTGGATGGTGGGACCCAGCCCGGGCCTCTCCCTGCAGGGCTCCGCGGGGAGCCACGACCTGGGGAGCAGGAAGATGCCCGGCAGTGGGGGTGAGGATGAAATCTACGACGGGGGGAGCAGGGGCCTCGGCATGCAGCCGGGGAAGTTCTGAGTGTCAGGGGAAGCGGCTGGTGGCGTCCTGGTGGATGGGGTCACGGGGCCCTTCCGTAAGGTCTCTTAAACCCAACTCCATCATCGGGGCCCTTCCGTAAGGTCTCTTAAACCCAACTCCATCATCTTCTGCACAAGGAGAGGCGGCAGCTCCCCTCGGTAGGACTTGGGAGGCCTGGGAGCTGGGGTGGCTGGATTCCAGCTCCACAGTGTCCTCAGAGCAGCGTGTGTGTGGACACACGGACGGAGGTCCCCTGGCCAGGAGCAGGGGGCAGCGCCCCTCCCAGAGACAGGGGGCAGGCACGAGCGCCCTCAGCCAAGAAGGCAGAAGACACACAGACCTGCGTCCCCCCGTGGGTCCTTCAGATGACCTTTAGAGCTGGCCTCGCAACCTGGGGAAGAGCTGAGGGGTCAGTGTAGCTCAGGGGAAGGGCTGGCCAGTGACCAGGCCTGGCCAGGGTCGGGGAGCAGGGATCTGTCATGGTTTTGTGTTTCCCCAGCTGAAAAAACCCTCACAGAACCTCAGCTGCCCCCCCCCCCCCCCCCCCCGCGGCCAGCTTCCCTCTGGGACACTTTCTTCAATAAGCGGAAGGCGGGAGAGTTCAGGGCAGAAAAGCCGCCCTGTGGGCCCCACTGGCTGGCTGCTGGGTCGTCTGGCTGCTGGTTTGGCCTCCAGTGTCACCTGGCTGGCTGCAGGGGAGTCCTGTTTCCAGGCTCACGGGGTCCCCATGGTCTTCACCCACCCCGATGGCCTTGAGCTGCTGGTCCTGCCTGGAGGCAGCCATGGGCCCCTGTGGGATCTGAGGCCTCCTGGGGCACAGAAGGGGCCAGGTGCCCACTCAGCATGTCCCTGGCCATTATTCCCTTTTATTCACTCAACAAACTCTTCGGAGGGACCCGAAAACAGAGACCCAGTTTGGGGTGGCGGGGAGGGGGACTGTGGCCTGCGGCCACTCCTGACAGCAGCTGGGGTCTGTCGTGTAAGCAGGGGTTCCCACCCTCCCTCAGCCACCCTCTCACTTCATCTTGAGAACACGTTTGTCCTGGGAGGACAGAAGCCACCCGAGGGGGCAGGCGTCAGGTAAGCCTGAGACCCACCTGCCGGTCCTCCCTGGCAAAGCCACGTCCCTCCCAGCAGAGGCTTCGCTCTCCCCCAGGCTGGGCCTGTCCCCTGCTCCGTTCAGGGGGGGCCTTTCTCCATTGGCCCTGAGGTCCACAAGGGACAGGGACAGGCAGAGCAGGATCTGTGTGTCCAACAGCCACGCGCCTCGGGGCAGAATTACAGCCGGCTCCTCTGTGGGCCTGGGCTGCAGGAGGGCTGGGCCTCAGCTCCTGAACCCCCAGTGCTGGGGCTGGAGACCAGAGACCGCGGGACTGGGGCGCTGGCCACTGCCTAGCACCATCCCAAGGCCTGGGCCCGGGGCTGGAGGAGGGGACAGCAGCAGGAGCCCGGGAACCAGGGGTGCGAGTTGGCAGCCTGCCCCTCAGGACGTGCAGCGCCTCACGCCCTTCCCAGGAATCCCTCCTGGCTGGGAGGTGACTCAGCACAGCCTGAACCACACTGGGACCCGCAGAGGGCGTGGAGTGGGGGAGGGCGTGGAGGGGGGAGGGCAGGGCAGCGTCCCTGAACCTGCCAGCAGCCTGGACTTTGTCCCAGCTCCCAGCCTGTCCCTCCCTGTTCCCTCCTCAGCAGGGTCCTCCCTGCTCCCTGGGTCTCTCCAGCTTGCACCCCCATGGGCACCCAGCAGGACATGCTGCAGGAAACCATGACACAGGCTCCTGCCCCCTCGCTGCCATCCTGGGTGTCCAGGGTGGGGAAACCGAGTCTCAGACTGGTGCAGGGAGCTGACATCAATCCCAGCTTAGCCTGGCCCCTGGGACCCCCAGAGACACCCAGTGTGCGTTCTGGGTGGGCTTCTGGGAGTCCCCGAGGCCCATCTTACAGAAAGGGAGACGGAGGCCCAGCAAACGGAATGACAGAGGAAGTGTGGGAGAGAAGGCTCACCTCCCTGTGGTCCTGCGTCCCCAGGGTGGGCCCTGTGGCTGCCACAGAGGTCAAGGAGCCTGTGGTGAAGGAATGAGGTGTTGGAGGGCCTTCTGCTGTGATAGCCCTGAAGCCATGTGATTTCAAAGCACTGGACATGTGACAAAGGAACAGAACTTTTAATTTGATTTCATTTCAACTAATTTCAACTTAAAAACCAATATAGTATTTACAGTTGATGGACTCAGTTCCAAGACATGCAGAACCATCTGCACCGTGCCTTGGCGCTCACAGGGCCTCTGCAGCCTCCGCACTCTCCTTTTAGTCTCAAAACTCACTGAGACCCACATCTCAACTTGCCAGAAGAATCTGAAGTTCTGAGAGGTCAAGAGACTTGCCTAAGCTCACATAGCCAGGAAGTGGCCGGGCCCTAGAACTGGGACATTCTGAATGTCTGCCAGATTCCTTTCCACTCTGTCTTACTCACACAGCAAGCTCTGGTTGGGGTTCACCTCCAAGCCAGTCCCTGCATTACCTCTCTGAATCCACCCTCCTTGGAGGACAGGAGGACCTGCATCACCACTGTTCTAAGAGACGCAGAGGACACCAATGTCCCAGGGTCAGAGCCCTGCAGAGCTGGGATCTGCACCCCAGGCATTTTGGAGCAGGACCTGAGACCTTTCACATGGTGAGTGGGGGGGTGGAGTGCCCTGTCACCATCGCTGAGGGCCTTGGTGGTAGGTGCCTTTTTTTCTGGCTCTGGGAAGCCCCTGGGCGTCACCCAGATGGGAAATTAGAGAAGGCTCTGGCTGAGGCTGGGGAGGGACTGCAGGGGAGGTGCTTCACACAGCCAGGTGAGAGTCCCCAGACCTCAGAATGGGGAAAGGATTCGAGGCACAGTCGCGGGCTGGCTGCCGAGCCAGGCTGGCCACGCTGCCTGGACACAGGTGGGGGAAGGCCGGGCGAGAGCCCCAGGTGAGCCGCGCTGCCAGGTATGGGCACCAGAAGGCCTGAGCAGAGTGCGACTGGGCAAAGGTGCAAAGCAGGAGGGCCCAGGACGGCTGCTGCCCAGGGCCGAGCAGGGAGGAGTGGCAGAGAGGATGGACAGGAGGCTCCAGGGAGACAAACCAGGTCTCAACTTGGCTGGTCCTTGGTGGCCGGAGGACCCTGTGCCCATGGTCTCATCCCTTGAAGCTGCAGCTGAGTCTCACAGCCAACCTAGGGCACCAAACCCACCTGATCACAGGGTTGCAACCAGACACAGTGACAGTGTCAGGAAGGTGCCTGGCCAGCACCTTCACCCCGTCTGGTCTCCACACACACTAGCATCCAGAGAGGGGCGACCGCCTGACGGGAAAACAAGGAGAGAACGCACGGGGCTCTGTTTGTTCAAGCTGAGGTATGATCCACCTGAAGAAAAAGTCAAAATAGTAGCCTTGGAGAAGATGACAGATCAAGATAGCTCTTCAAGGGAAATACCCGCTCAAAATTGCCAACGTCCCTCGCCCCTCCACCTGCTCTCCTAATGATTTTTCTTGCAGCGCTCATTACTGCTTCATAACGGGTTCTAGGCAACGCATGGATTCATTTTGCTGAAAGTCTCTCTCCCTGGTTGCAAAGTGAGTTCTTTGAGAGGAGGACTGATTTGGAGTCTTGTTCGTCATTGAATCATCAGGGCCTCGGTCACACCTGGCACATAATAGGAGCTCAGTGAATTCCTGCTCATTGAGTGAATGAAGGAGTGGGTCACAATAAAACTATGACACTGTAGTGACAGCGTGGTGTCTGAGGAAGGAGGTGAAGGAGAACCTAGGAGGTGGCCTGTCACCTGGGTCAGGCCCTGAGTAGGGGCTTCAAAGAGGAGTCTCATGGGAAGTGTCGGTGGGAACGGGAACCCTGTCCTCTATGCCTACCTGGCTGGTGCAGCTTAGGTCTCAGGAGCTCAGCCACCTCGATGCCACCATCAGGGTGATGGGCAGGTCTGCATGCTGGAGGCCAGGCTGGCCTGGCAGTTGGCAGAGGGGCCACCTGCAGCAGGGCTTTTGCACCTGTCATCAGTCTGCCTCCCCCCACCCCACCCCCGCCGCCTGCTCAGCTCCCTGTTGGCCCTGGACAGAGTCATTGGAGCTTTGAAACTGGGCTGGTCACTGCCAAGAATCTGGAAGCTGTTCCAAGAGTTACGGCCCAGAGTGCTGCACCGAAGGGGAGGGAGGAGACCTGAGACCTTTCTGTGGATGCAGAGTCCCCACAGAAGTTCAAGGCCACCCAGGGAGCAGTGGAGTTAGATTCCCACCATGAGCACACCCTGGGTGAATCAGTGCCCGTTCTAGAGTGAGATAGGGCGGAGCTCAGAGCCCAGCACCCCTTCCTGGCTGCGTGACTTTGAGCCAGGCATAGTCCCTCTCCAGACTTTGCGTTTTCTGCACTTGGGTATGTGCACGTGTATGAGTGTGCACAGATACGCACACACACATACCCACAAAGGGGTGGGTGCCTCATGGTGCCTCATGATTAATGTGAATACTAAATAGTGTACATGTGAGTTCCCTTTCCTGCTGCTCTAAGCTCAACTTTTAAATCCTTTTAAAAATGATCAATATTCAAGCAATACGCAGGTGCTATATGCTCATTCCTAAAAGATTTGAAAATAGAGCTAATGAAAAAGAAGGAATTCAAAATCACCCATCACCATGAGAATGAGAAGGCAAGCCACTGGCCGAAGACGAGTCTGCTAGAGGGCTGCTCCCCACGTCCTGCAGGATCGCCTAGGACGCGGTAAAGACAGGCAGCCCCACTAAAAATGGGCACAGGCTCCAAGCAGACGCCTCACCAAATGCAGACCTACGAATGGCAAAGGAGCATCTGAAAAGATGCTTGCATCCTAAGTTGTTAGAAGCTTGCAAATTAAACAGGACACCCCTAGAGACCTGTTAGAATGGCCAAAATCGAGGACAGGGACCCACCCGGTGCCAGAAGGATGTGGAGCTGTAGGAACTCTCATTCCTCGGTGCTAATGCAAAAATCCCACGGCCACTTTGAAAGACAGTCTGGCAGCCCCTTACAAAATCAGGCAGGTGCACTTTCACCATTGTGTCCAGGAATCACCCAAATGAGCTGAAAGTAACATTTACAGAAAAACCCGCACATGAGTGTTCATAGGAACTTCGTTCAGTAAAGGGGTGATGGTCCTCGGGCTGTGGTGCATCAGGACCATGGAGTATGGCTCAGCATGTAAGAGAAGGGCACCAGCCACCAAAATGGGTGGGGAAGCTGGAACGTCACTCCCCAGGGGAAGAGGCCAGTCGGGGAGGCTACGCACTGCAGGACCCCAACCACAAGGCATTCTGGGAAAGGCAAAACCAGTGATAGTAAGAAAAAGATAAAGGGAAACAAAGGACAGGAGTGTGAGAAAGCCGAAAGAAGGCCTCAGCTATAAAAAGGGAAGACCTCCCCCTTCCACGGATTCCACGTCGGTCCCCTTCTTCCTCGGGGAGAAGTCTTTCTGCTGTCCTTTAAGAAAGCTTCTACTTTCCACTCTCCACTTGCCTCCGCCTGCTTCTCTGGTGTTATACTTCAGCACTGGGGAAGCGAGGACTCGTCACCGGTAAACAGCATAAACCTGGAGGATTTGTAGGGTACTGAGACGACTGTGGGGGGGCGCTATAATGGTGCACACACATTGACACCAAAAGCTCGGGCCTTGTCTCCATTGCAGACTCAATAACAGGGACAAAGGGAAAAGTTTTTAGTGATTTTCTAGCAAAGGAGGAACACCTTCCAGAGTCTCGCTATGCACCACCAGCCAGTCCCGCACCAGCCTGCGCTAGCCCATCGCCCCTTAGCCCTGGGAGGCCAAGGTGCTCCACGACTTGTCAGGCAGAAGCTGCTGAACTCGTGGCTCCAGAGCTGATTTTGGAAAGAGACACCCTCCGCCCCTGCTGGAGCCTATGCTCTCAGGATAGGGGAGGGAGTTGGGTGGGAGGCCAGAAATGGAGCCGCGGCCCCCACTGACTCTTGGCTCTGTGGTCCCCGGAGCCCAGAGCTTCCATGTCCCCATCTGTAAAGGAAGGTAGGACAGGCCTGGTCACTAGCTCCTCCCAGCTCTGACCCTACCTACAGTCACTTCCCAGAAAAGCTACAACCAACCCAGATCCCAACCAGCGCCTGTTTTCATAGGCCCAAAGCAAAGTTTTTATTTTTTAATTTTTAAATGATTAGGAAAAAATCCAAAGAAGAATAGTCTGTGGCATTTGAAAATCATGTAAGAATCAAATGTCAGCATCTACAAATGAAGTTTTATTGGCACCCTGCCATGTGCATTAATTTTCCTGCTGTCTTGGCCACTCTCTGGCTCCCTGGCCCTCAAGTCCTGGCTGCAGGGGCTGACTGGCCAGAGGGCCGAGCCTTCTCCTACCCAGCTCGCTCCTCCCAGGCATGCCCTCGGCTTCCGGCTCTCAAGCTGACTTTGTAGATTAATTGCCGGCTTAAAGGTTTCCCAGTGCTGTCATGTGCTGAACTCTGGGGTTAGGATTTCAACACCTGAGTCTTGAAATGCCGTCTGAGTCCCCTCCTTGCTGGGAGGACTGAGGGCAGTCAGGAACCTGGAATGTTCCACTGAGTTTCTGGAACACTCCAATGAAGTGTGAGTCTTTGGTAAACGTGAGCGCTCACATCCACTGATAATTATCGTGCTGCCCCTGATGGAGCTCGGCCAGCACGTGCCAGAGACTGGACAGGCCTGTCCTCACAGTTGGAGGGTCCCTGCGGGGGGGCTCTGGAGCAGGGCAGCTTGCTCCCTGCCCCGCCTCCAGGGGTTCCATCCACATGGTGACCCCATCATGAGGATATTGATGAGGAAGGCTTTTCTGGCAGGTCTCTGAGGAAAAGTCGCCTTCCTCAAGTCCCCCAGATGCACAGTGTGGCCAGGACCATGCTGCCTGGAATTCCAGGGTCAAAGGGCACAGCGGATGAACGGGATAGAGAGAGAGCACCGTCCTGAGCAGCACGGGGCCGGCGCCTTCCCTCGCGGGCTCTGCGGTGCCCCAGCCCCGATGCCGTCTGGCAGAAGCGAGTGCTCAGTGTTTGCTGAATGACCTCTATGTGCCCGTTACAGCTGTCCTCCTGCCTTCCCGTTAAGCGAGTCTTCAGCCCGTGCAGGGACTCAGAGACAGTGCACCGGTGCTTACTGAGCCCTCCTGCCAGTCGGGGGTGACCTCCTGCGTTCTAGACTCTCTCCTTCCCTCTTCTACTTCTGACTGCCACAGCCCCGTGACGTGGATTGTTCTGGAAAGAGCGAATTCTCTATTAGACCCAGCTGCTTCAGTTCTCTGAGCCCCATTCCGTTCCCTTCCATTGGGAGAACCAGATGGCGGGATGCTTCTCTCCATCCAGGACTTCCCCATCATTGCCCCCAAGGCTTCGGAGGTGAAGGAGGAGAGAGGAGGAGACCCCAGCAGAAGGGAGTAGGGCAAGGAGGGGAAGAAGCCTGGCCCAGGCCAGGTGCAGGACCAGATGAGCCAGGCCCTGAGCTGGGAGCCTTTGGGGACAGGGCTGCTGCTTCACCCTCCCTGTGCAGGGATGTGTCAGTCCTGCCCCTCCCACGCAGCAGCCAGGGTGACAGGTGGCTCTGGGAAGGGTAAAGGCAGAGCTGCCCGGGGCGCAGCCTGGGGGAAGCACTGCGGCCCGGGGCCTGGGCTGAATGGGCCCTTTCTCTCCCACAACAAACGCGGGCCTTGTGTGCAGGTTTGTTTGTGCCGCTGCTTGCCCAGGCGGTCTCTGCCCTCCTCCCACGGCCCAGCCTCGGGCAGGCGCCTCTGAGAGCCCGGCTTCAGGAATTTCCAGAGCCTGGGTCATTGCCTCCCCCCAAGTGCCGAGAGCACCTGGGAACCCCGAGGTCCTCGTCTTCCCGTCCACAGGCCGCCCGACTCTATGCCCTCCTTGTAGCTTTCTACTTTGGTTGGTGGGAAGTGTCCACCCACAACCGGTCTGCTCTCCCCTCCCCCTCAGGGCAATGTATAGTGATTGCTTAAGATATTCCACACTTCATTGTACTCCGCGTCAGACCACTGAGCTCCACCGTGGGCTCTCGTGAGTGTTCAGAGCATGGTGAAGGTCAGGTGGGCTAAGCCGGACACTCGGTAGGGCCGGTGTGTTAAGTGTGGGTCAACTTAGGTGATCTTCAGCCTGCAATGGGTTTTTCAGGGTTGAACCCATCACCCGTCAAGGAGCATTGATACCTGGCAAGACAAACCTGTCTGTGGAGCAAGGACCGACCTTGGAGCCCTTAGGAAGGTCAAGTGCACCTGGGATTTGGAGGTCATCCTCTCTCCAGGGCCGGCAATTAGCCATATTGAACTGACCACGTCGCCACCCTGCTTCAGACCCTTGCAGGCCAGCTTTGCTGGCCAGTATGCGGAGCTGAGCAGAGAGAGCTCAGTGCCTGTCCTGCTGACTGGCTTGCTGATTCAGGAGTTCAGGGAGGTCCCAAGGTCAGCCCGGAGCCTTCTGCTCTGAGTTTCTCTGCCTAAGTGAGGCATGGCCGTCCCTGAGGAAGCCACTTCTGGAGTTGACATGGCCCCATAGCTGTGGACACTAGACACTGCCCCTGCACCTCCCTCCAGCCCCCTTCACCTGCTCCTTGCATGGGCCAAGCGTTTCCTGTGGTCACCTGCTCTGCAGCCGTAAGCCCCTGCAAAGCCACCCCCTCAGGCTCCAGAGCACCTCCTGAGGCCCCAGACTCGCCACGGCTGCCCACCTCTTTTAGTCAGGTGTGACTACAGGATCTGACCAGAACAACCGTAAGGAGGAAAGTTCATCTGAGGGCTCGCGGTTTCAGAGTCTCAGTCCATAGAAGGCCGGCTCCACTCCTCAGGGCTTGATCTGGGCCTGAACATCATGGTGGGAGGTGTGACAGAGAGAAGCGGCTCACATCACGGTGATCAGGAAGCAGAGAGAGGCTCCACTGGCCAGATACAAATATCTACCCAAAGCCACGCCCCAATTCCCACCCCTCCAGCCCCACCCCACCGCTTCAGTTACCACTCAG